CTCCCACCACACTCTCCCTGGCCCCCCTGGGCTCTCCTGGGCCCCGCACCCACCGTGCTCTTCCAGGTTCCCCACCATAATTTCCCTGGCCCCGCACACGCTCCCCTGGGCCCCGCACACGCTCTCCCGGGCCCTGCACACGCTCTCCCGGGCCCTGCACACGCTCTCCCGGGCCCTGCACACGCTCTCCCGGGCCCTGCACACGCTCTCCCGGGCCGCAACACCTCTTACCGTGCTCCGCTAAGTGCTGCTTTTCCCTTTCACATTTGACAAACTTTTTTCTTCTTCCTGGAATATTCTTGCTTTTAATTTCTACCTGGCAACTGAATATTAATTATCTGAGATCCTGTGAAAGTTTTATCTCTTCTTAGACATCTTCCTGCATCACACCAAGCATAATTGGAAATTCCTGAATTTTGCACCCACAGAACTGTGTGAATCACCTCTATTATCAATTTATCACATGCTATTCAAGTTGTCTGAGTGCCTGTCACCCTACTGAAGAGTAAACGCTGAAGGCAGGGGCAGGTGTTGTTCATGATTGTGTATCTATCAGTAGTTAGCATACTGCTGGGTACACAGAGTTCATGCTCCCTGACGGAGTGAGCAAATTAATTATTGTCTTGCTTCAAATTCATCTCTTAGGTGGGGTATGGTATGGTGTTTTCTGAGGAATCTTTTTAAATGAATGTTGGTGAATCCACATGATTGCTATATACTCTTCCAAGCAGAGATGAGTTCAGAAATAATATGTTGTTTCACACTCTTTCTAAGTTGTTTTAAGTAGTGTAAGCATCAAATCAAAAGACAATTTGATAGTTGATGATAGAACAAAGATTTGATACAATGACTTTTAAGTCCTAGGAGGCCAGCACTCTTTTCCACTAACATTTTGTCGAAATGGGACTCAGTGCAAAGTTATTTCAACAATAAGATCACCATATGTCTTGCACTGAAATACAGCATTACTGCAGTAAAAGCCACATAAAGTGGGAGAAACTGAGGCAGACACAAATGGTACTTTTCAAAAGACATGACTCTAAAGCACTTATCACCTAAACTATATTTTCAGCCCATTGTTTCATCTTTGTGGATTTAAAAAACACAAAACCTCTTTTGATCCAAAATGAAAACACACTTTTCTTACAAATGTGCAAGAAGATGCTGGAAGCAGGCAGGCTCCTGGCTTGGGTGCTTCCCGGGAGGAAGGCTCTGAGGCAGGGGCGTAGCGCCATTCCTCTGACTCCACCACCTTGCTTTCTTAAACTAGAATAATACAAATTTGCAAATGAACAAAAAAGTGGGGGGTAGATATCTGATTTACAATGTTTGTGAGATAAAGAACGCTACAAAAAGGCTCAGTGTGAATAATAAAGCATTGTTAACTGAGTCATGACATTTCTATTCTGGTGATGCCTAGAACAGCAGAGCCGCAAATGAGCACCTCGTGCCACATTCCAAGCGGGAGGAAGGCATGTCATCACAATTCTTTCCCTGATGAGGACTCAAGAAAATCTGGGGAAAAGTTTATTGAAAAACATATTGACATATCAGTGTTATAAATTACTTTCTCTTATTAACCTCCCCCCCCCCCCCCAATTCTTTTGTTGGCTATCTCCTCACAGCACAAAAGGTGTTTCAGGGAGACATCCTGCCTTGAGGAGCCCTTCTTACATTGAAAAATATCTACCATAGATTCATTCTGTAACTTCTCAACATGTAAGACGTATTAGAGAAATATATTTTCAAAACAGTTTTTAACTTCCATTGTCTCGATCGCACATATCAACCTTGTCATGCCAAGCATCGAAAATCCTCGGAAACCTTGTCTTTAGTCAAAACTAATGAGTCTATTTTAACACCCTTTGTGAAAGTAGAAGGTGACATAATATTATGCTTTCATTTAACATACATTCATATCCATCTCCTTTCTTTGTTGGATGGGTAAGGGAAAGTTTTAAAAAATATAGTGATATGACCAACTGCAAGGTTTCAGTGAAGAACAGAAGGGGAATGGCATTTGCCGAGTGAACTTTGAAATGACTTGAAAAGCCCCAGGACCGCGGGGGGAGCGCGGAGGTCAGCACAGGTACGGTGAGCTGTCCCGACACTGCCGCGGCCTGGACAGGGCCGCGCGGCGGGAAGGTGGGCACTGAGGACAGCGGGGCCGAGGCCCACGCAGCCTCAGCAGGGGCTGTGCTATCGCCAGAGAACACACCCATCGAGCGCTGCAACAAGGAAACTACGCGTTTTTCTTTATAAAAGGGCCACTTTTACGGAACAGCAGGAGCCCAGCCAAAGGGCGTCCAGACGGGCACCAGGACGTGGCCAGGCGGTGGCGCAGCCCCAGCCCGAGCCGGCGTCCGTTCCGCACAAGCGCGAGGGGCGACGCGGCCGGCGGGGGCCCTTCACCCCACGGCAGTCGGGAGGCCGAGGCCCGCTGCGCGCTGGGAGACCACACCGCTGGGCTATGTCTTGCAGTCCCCTCCGCAGTTGTGCCTCTCTGTCTGTCAGTGCCTCTCTGTCTGTCAGTGATTAAGAGGTGCCCGGGGATTTGATTTTACACTGACCTGGTGTTTTCTGCAGCGTCTGTGGTGATAAAGACCGAGGCACATGGGGAATTGCGTAAAGCCTGCAGCCAGTGCACGCTGATGGATGTCCAGTGCAGATGGCATCAGGTTACAGCAAAGAAGGAAACCAGAGATGGGGGAGCACCAGACGGAAGCCAGCCGACGAGCGGTGTCAGGGCAAGGGCACAGTAGAAGGGGATCAAGGAGTAGGTCCGAAACTCCCCGCGAGGAAAACAGCACGAGGAACCGGACAGCCGGCTCATCTGCGTGTGCACTGAGTTGGTTGCCCGCAGCCTGGCTGTGGGTTGGGTTCCGCGGCAGAGCGCTCCTCGTGGTGGGAGCATGCTGCGGAAGGTAATTTCTCCGATTTAAGTTGGGGGGCTGAACCTCACCCCGGCGCCGGGAGCCAGCCCTTAGGACTCATCATGACAGCTCTGAGGACAGGAAATGGCCAGTGCATTCCTCGTTTTCTGGCGGGAGAGAACTTCAGCCTTCTCTGACTTGAGGCACTCACCAGTTTGCTTGAAATCTAGTAAAATCACTTTTGCTTGGAAAGGAAAAGATGGAATCGTTTCTAATTCAAACTCAAACTTATTTCAAGCATATGTGCACCCACAGTACCTGGCGGACAGTGCTCGGAGTGCCCCTCGCTGTGCGCTCGTTTCGGTCCTGCTGTGTGGCCCGGGAAGAGCTGCTTCTCCTCTGAGTTCCAGGGGCCTCGCGGCTTACAATAGGTGCAAAATGAATTAAAAACTCTGAACAAACTGTTGTTTTCACATGTTACCATCTTGCTACAAATAGTCAGACCTAAAGGACAGCATAGAACGATGAGAATCATTTGAAGCAGATGGCGGAAGTGTGGTCCTCAGATATGCCGGTTTTCCATCACTCTGATTAATGGACATATTTTCAATCACCAGATAAGAATCCGTGGGTGCAGATGGATGACTTACGCTATAGGGTTTTTGACAGCGTGGGGGTTGGTATCCCTAACCCCCTCGTTGTTCAAAGGTCAACTGCAATGCATTTGAAATTAGAAGCCTGCCTTTACTCAGACTTACAGAACCGGGAACTCTGGGACCATAACACACCAATCTGGGTTTTCACAGTCACTCCAGGTGATTCTGATGAATGCTAACATTTGAGAACCACTATCCTAGGTATTATAAAACAAATTTTTCATGGGTTCATGCCAACATGATGTATAAACTGGACCAGTTGGATGTAACGAGCTGATCACCTGTAACATTGTACCTCAGAGAGACCTTATAATAGCAGGTGTACTTCGTTTAAAACATCAGGAGTGCCCTGACTGGTGTGGCTCAGTAGACTGGGTTCACCCCATGCACCAAAGGAATGCCAGTTTGATTCCTGGACAGGGCACATGCTAGGTTTTGGGCTCGGTCCCCAGTGAGGGGCATGCAGGAGGCAACCGATCAGTGTTTCACTCTAGAATCAATGTTTCTCTCTCTCCTTTGCCCTTTCTCTCTCTTCAAATCAATACAAAAATCTTTTAAAAACAAATAACATCAGCAGTATATTCTGATGACTTATGCAACTCTCCTATAAAGAGGAAAAATACTCTTTCTAGTCTGCCACCATTATTGAATTGGAATCACCTGGTGTATTTATACTTGTTTGTATCACCAAGGGATAACTTCAAAAGAGTGTGGCTGGCTCATTTCAGGCTAAATATTCCATTAGCTAAGTGGTAAGGAGGTCCATATAACCCAGGAGGCCCTGTGATTCCATCGTAAGTATTATTCCTTTGGAGTTTCTGTCACTGTTTTCAACCTTTTGAGCTTTCGCAAATGTATTTGGCATTCAATTACATTGAGATTAATCCAAAGCAGATGTCCCTGTAGTGAAGAGGTGCATTGTTGAAACCCTACCATCTGAAGCACTAAATTATAAGCACATAGACACAAACAAATCCATAAATATCAATTATTTAAAATGATTTAAAATGCATAGTTTTATATAATACATTTTTAAAAATACAAATGCCAATGAGCTCTTAACAATGAGCTAAAATGACTAGTCCTCTCTTCATGGCAACATAAAACTATTTCCATAAGCTGAGGACCTAGAATTTCAATGAGCCTTCCTCTTCAGTTGCCAAGAACAACTCAGTTTTATCCAAACCTCTGACTCTCCATGTTGTTGACTATTCTCTTACCAAAGACCTTAGATATCCAGGAAAAGAGACCAGTAGAACCTCTCTGTCCGTAAGCTTGGAGGGAGAGTGTGTGGGATATGAAAGCACTTTGTAAAACCTAAATCATGAAGGGTGAATGTAGTAATATGAACATTGCTGTGGTTATTGACTAAGCAGGATACAGCCAGAGCACTCCCCTACTAGACACAGGATTTCAGTCAAGCACAATTGTTCTTTTTCTATGACAACCCAATTGACAGAGTCTCTTAAAGGGGAACCAGGTGACTAAACTACCCAACTGATGGAATGTGAACCAAACACTCATCATTTAATTCAGCAATACCCTGTGAATACAAACAAAAAAACAATAAAAAACACCTCAACGATGATTGAAAGCTGGACATAATCACATGCCTCAGAGTCCCAGAGAGTGGGCAAGAGCCAAACTGACTTATCTCCATCATATAAGGTTCATCTTATTGTCCTTCCTGTCCCTTCATTTTTCTTTTTTAATCCTCACCTGCCTCACCCAAAGACATACTTAGAGAGAAGAAGGGAGAGAGAGAGAGAAACATCGATGCCAGGGATCAAACTCGAAACCTAGGCATGTGCCCCGACCAGGAATCAAACCAGCAACACTTTGGTACATGGGACAATGCTCAACCCAACCCACTGAACCACTCCAGCCAGGCTTCCTTGCCCTTCATTTGACCTTGACCTTACTGGGGAATTCTGAGCCATTAGTCATTAAGAATTCCACCAGTGGAGAAATCAGGTCACAGATCCACAGAGGGGATGCCTGTGGGCAGTCTGGTGACATGTTTGTCTCCTCCAATAGAACATAAAATCCCCGAAGGCACAGCTGTACCTCACCCAGCTTTGTATCTCTTGCATATATTAAAGTGGTGAAGTGAAGGAACGGTAGCCTTCAAATGCCTAAATTCAAATTCTTACTCCCACCTTGACTGGTTTAGGAATGCAACACGAGCGGAGCACAGCCGCTCCACTCAGATGCCGTTCCCACGAGGAAAACGGAGCTTATCACACTTCCTCGCTGGGTCACTGTGAGGGTTACATGAGAATTCCTGGAAAGCACTTAGCCGGAGATTCTCATAGTGGGAAGAGCGTGTTAGCTGTCATTATTTTTATTATTCTAGCAGGTGCTAAATGAATGAATGGAGGAATTGGTGTGTGGGAGATGAAACTAACATCTATGGTTTCCTCCACATCTAAAATGACATACATAATTCTATTTAGTTCTCAGAGAAGTTCGTAATGGAAAACGTACCTGAAAACATTTCAGCAGTGCTGGGTACCTGTGTGTTTGGGATGCGACGTGATAGAGAAGAAAGTGCTGAGGACTAGGAGCTGGAGAACCAGACCCGAAACGTGTCTTCACCTACCCCTGGGAGGGCTGGACGGTATCTGCGTTCGGTCAGCCTGATGCCAAGCACTGTCCGAGGCTGGGAATCCCATCACACCGGCCCTTTCCTCAGAGTGGAAAAGACACGCCCACAACAGCATGTCCGCGGCCCACAGAAGTGACCTTCACAGACAGGGAGGCTTCAGAGAAGCTGACTTGCCCATGAGCACAGGGAGTGGGTTTCATTTATCTCCATATTCCCAGTACTTTGCAGATGGCGAACATTTGTTGTAAAATGAAGTATCGCTTCTGCCAGGTCTTGAATGATGGTTAGGAGTCCAGTACGTAAGACAGGAGGGGACGCCAGGAGAAGGCCCTTGCAGTGCACGTGCAGTGCTGGGAGATGCGGTGTGTGCGCCCGGGAGAAGGCAGGGCCCTTGCAGTGCACGCACAGTGCTGGGAGATGCGGTGTGTGCGCCCGGGAGAAGGCAGGGCCCTTGCAGTGCACGCACAGTGCTGGGAGATGCGGTGTGTGCGCCCGGGAGAAGGCACGGCCCTTGCAGTGCACGCGCAGTGCTGGGGGATGCGGTGTGTGCGCCCGGGAGAAGGCACGGCCCTTGCAGTGCACGCGCAGTGCTGGGAGATGCGCTGTGTACGGGTGGGTGGGTGTGAGCTAAGGCTCTGCACAACTGCTTGTCATCCTGGTGACCCCACCCCCGCCCTGGCCTCTGGGCGCCAGGGTCTTCTCTAAAATGCTGTAGTCTCTCTTCCTCCTTTCTTTCTGGAAATAGTTTAGAGAATCGTTAAAGAATAAAGACATATACTTGCCTTCATTATCCTTGTATTAAACAAGAAATACAATAATTTGCAAAGAATAAAATTATCAATGTAGGCACCCTGACCACCTTTGCCACCAACATTTGTATTGTCTGGCTCTCTAATCCGTGTCCTCGCGTGAGGGCTCTATGGCATTAGGGTTAAAGATTTTTAGTTTTAATTTGTCATTTTGAAAAGTAATATTTCTTCCTTGAACAAAGATATTTTACTTAGCTTTCTGAAGGCCCTTTGCATTGAAATGCTCATGGAAGAATACCTGAAAGATTCATAAAATTTGGAAAACTCATGCTCATTACAAACATTTGAAAAACCAAAAGCTTTTTTGTGAGTGCAGGTTTTATCAGAGAATCTTCATTATTCATATTTTCCAGGTTATTGACATAATGAACAAATATTAATAATGAAAAAGTTTCCTCGTACCGACACCCAGATGCTGTCCTTAAAGGACACATGACATGTGCACACACTTCCTGGCTTCCGGCTGCCACCTCCAACCGGAGTCAGTCCGCAAGCGGAAGTCACCCGGCCTCCGGACAGCTCTTCCTTCCTTGGCACAGCGTGTCAAAACTTCAGTTCCTACTTTGTTTTGCTTTTTCAATAAATGAAAAGATATCTTTAAATATTTTTTCAAGAAAGGACATTTTTATGAGTAATATATTTTCTTTTGACAATGTATGATAACAATATGTTATTGTACCTTCTCACAGAGAACTTGATGGAAGATACAATTATCAAGGACTATTCTTGTTCCCTCAAAATTTTGAAAACGTTGAACCACTTTCTGGCACTTACTTTTGCTCGAGAAGAATCGGAGGCCAACCCAGGACCCTTCCTTCTCACATCGTTATGTTTTGCTTGTCTGGGTGCTTGAAAGGATATTTATTCTTATAATTCTAAATACTTTCCGAGACTGTGGTCTCTGCTTACTAAACTTTAGACAGTGAGGTTCACCCTCGAGAACATTCTCCCCGGGCCTGTACGTCGGGGCTACCTTCGACAAAGCGTACTTCTGCTTAAACGTCTCCGTTTCTTCACGTAACTCCAGCTCTCGGGAGCGATCTGTGCTCTGACCTCTGTGTCGAGCATCGTCTTCACCCCATCACTTGAATCCCCTGTTCTGGACTTCCAGGGGGATGTTTCTGATACCTGCTCTCCCTGTTGTGACTGGGGTTCTCCGCAATGCCCATGGTGGGTCTTACTGCCCGACGCAGATTTTAGTGCTGTAACCACAGTTCTGACTCCTTCAGAATCGCTCTGCCTCTGCCTCCCTTTGGGTCCAGCCTGTGGGCTGTTCACCTCCACTGGGTCACTCCTTAGTATACCCTCTTTTCTTCAGAGTTCCTCATGCAACATAATTAAAACCTCAAACAACTTTTGACAATTTTCTTCTGTTTTTTTAACAGTCATATCTTGTTGGTTAGAGTGACAAAACTGTCTCTCTCGGGTCAGATCGAAGAGCACCCCTCTCCAAAAGAGCTGGAGCCCAGCCTTCTGGTTGACACAAATACTGATTCTGAACCAGAAACAGAGGGAACAGGTTGCTCATGTCCCTTACAGCGGAGCTGTTGTCACGTGCCGGCTGATTGGGTCCTTCTGTCCAGTTCTGGTGCTTGATGCAGAGTGTAAGGCTGTCCAGGACTATCAAACCCATGCGTCCTGATTGTGAACATAGTTCTTTGTCTGCATTGTCAGAGGTATTTTAGAAGGAAGTAGAAGAAAGTGTATCAAGGATTCCAATAAAGACTATTTTAAACATGGAAACCTTGACCACAGCGACTACTTGGCTTTGAAAATAATGTTATATAACTTATCATTGTTAACATATGGAACAAACAAATACTCTTTTTAAAAGGAGACTTTATTTTCTTATAATGGCTCAAACACTTCATAGAATGATCCTGTTATTTTAACACCTGAAGATGTAGCCTAACATTGTGCTAGCTTGTTTTAACACTAAAATACATTCCGCACAGTCCACCTTGACAGGCTTGAATGCTGAATGTTTTATGCTTGGACAAAGAGTGAACTGTAGGTCTTTCTCCAAGCACAGTCAATGCACTTGAGCATGGGTTACCAAAAATGCTGGAGAATTTTTTCTATTTATTGTTATAGCTCAAATCCTTGTGTCTCTGGTAGGCTTTAAGTGACATAAATATGCATTTCCATCTGCACATCCTTGTCAGGAATAGTTCTGCTGGGAGGTGTTATGCCACCCAAGTGCTTCCAGAATAGAGTCTGTTAATCCCGTTACCACTATAGAAATTCAGAGGAAAAGTCTACTCAGGCCACTACTGCAGCTGCTGTGGCTGGACATGTTCCAGCAACCACACCCTGGGAACCAAAAAGGAGCGTGAGAAAGTTGAATTTCCTTCAGGTGGGAGGGACATAAGGGACTGACCTCAGTCTATTACTTAGACCAGTGGTCCCCAAAGTTTTTATTGTAAACTTTCATCAGTAAAAAAAAAGGGGGCGGGGGCGTGGAAATAGCAAGCCTACCTTATGCATCTATATGACTGTATACACACATGCATACACACATACATACACCTGTGCTGCCGTATGAACTGTTAGGTACATTATAACAAGTGTAAAATAGCTGTATTAACAGTGATAAAGAATAACTATAAATAGGTGCTCTAAGTTCATTAAATAGACATGTAGCCAAACAACAAATATGAGTGAGGATGTGGGGAAAGGGGCCCTCGTGCACTGCCGGTGGAATGCAGACTGCTGCAGCCCCCGTGGAGAGCAGCATGGAGTTACCTCAATAAATTAAAAATAGAACTGCCATATGACCCAGTGATTCCACTTCTGGGAATTTATCTGAAGAAACTCAAAACACTAATTAGAAAAAATAAATGCACCTCTATGTTCATTGCAGTGTTATTTATAGTAGCCAAGACTTGGAAGCAGCCCAAGTGTCCATCAGTAGATGCGTGGATAAAAAAGCTGTGGCATATTTACACAATGAAATACTACTCAGCCATAAAAAAAGAAGAAAATTTTACTCTTTGAGACAGCATGTATCGACCTGGAGAGCATTATGCTAAGTGAAATAAGACAGTCAGAGAAAGACAAGCA